CTGCCCACGCTGTGCTTCCGTGGCTGCTTTGCTCCAGGGGATGCAGTTTTGGGTGGGTTTGCCAACCTTGGGGTCTGGGCTGGCTTGGGCCACACCAGGATGCTCCCAGGGAGCAGTTTTGGGGTGGATTTTTGAAATCCACCTCTCTTTGTTCTCTAAAACCCCATTTTGTGTGGGTGTGGGGAGCATCACTGGGGTGATACGGGCTCCTTGGCTGTGCTGGGTGGGACCAGAGTGGGACACAGGCTGGTCCCAGACCCCGTAGGACATGCAGGCAGGAGCAAAGACCAACTGTCTACAGGGGTTTCATCCAACCTTGTGCAACCCAGCACCCCGAAAAGTGGACTGGGAGAGCAGACAGCAGGGCTGGGGGGGCTTGTGGTCCCTGGGACAGGCTGTGGTTGCAGCCGTGCAGCCCTGTGGGGGCGTGGGGAAGGGTTTACTCTCTTCCAAAGCTGTCTTCAAAACCACATGGAGGAAAGGGCACGCTGAGAATTGGTGTGGAAAGAGAGCAGAGACCCCAGCCCAGCCCCTCTGGGGGGGTTGGCTGCTTTTCCAGCGGGATGGGTGGAATCCATTAGGAGCTGCCAGCCTTTTGTGGGTACTTTCTCCTCCCAGTTCAATGACTGGCTGCTGGTCTGCTCCCTCCTGGTGGCTCTGGGCACCTCCTGGGTTCTGCTGCAATGCTCCTTCCTTGCTGGAGGGTTATCTGCCTCGTGGGTGCCCTGGGAGCCCATCCCTGTGGCTGTGAAAGCATTTTGGGAGCCAGCACATGGAGTACAGGGATACCCAAACCCCATTTTTAGCCAGGTTCCAGTGGACAGGGCTCGTGCACAAAGCCAGCAGGACCTCAGAGGTCCCTCCAACAGGTTTAGAGGCATTTTGCAGGGGAACTTCATCTCTGCAGCACATGGGGATGTCAGACACAGAGCTGGATTGTCCTCAGCAGCCACCCCACGGCTTGGGCACCTAGTCAAGGGGACTGGGACACTATCCTGAACCTGCACAGCTGCCCCAGGTCCCAGCTGGGGCTGGGCAGGCTCCGAGCACCCCATATCTAGTTAGAGGTGTCCCTGCTCCTTGCAGGGGACTGGATGACCTTGAAAGTCCCCTTCCAACCCAACCCATCCTCTGGTTCTGTGACTCCGTGCTCCACTCCCAGCTCTGCCGGTGCTTGCCCCGAGGGGTGGAGATGGGCTCAGCCCCCCTGGTCCAGCCCCAGCTCCTGCCTCCTGAGGGGGTTTCTGAGCTCCTGGCGCGTGGCGTGGTGCAGAGCAGGGCTGCCCCTGCTGTGGACACCCCAAGACACCAGCTCTGCTGGCTGGTGCCAAGGCAGGCGCTTGCCAAGCCGCCGGGCGCTGCCAGGACCGGAGCAATTCTCCAAATGGGTGGAAAGTCTGATGCCTCCAGCACCACTAATCACCTTTTGTGCACAGCCCTCAGCAAGCCAGAACAGATGTTTAATCACATTTGTGAAGAAGAAAAGGCTGAAATATGGCTATTTTAAAGCTTTAGCCAAGCAAGATAATTTTTAAATGCCACGTGGAGGCTTCCAAATTGGGGTGGGGGTGGGGTCTGGATGAGCTCCCACTGCTTGGGCACGGGGACAAGCCTTGGTGCCACCCCAGCCCGTGGCTGCGTTTCTGGTGCCCTTGCTCTGAGCTCTCCCTGACGCAGAGCCCCTCACTCCCTGGCAGATTTAATGGAGCTGCTGATGATTCAGAACTCCCAGCTGCACCAGGTGCTGATGAGCAGCCTGGCTCTGTCGGCACTGGCGGCCTTCGGGTTCGGGCCATCCCCACCTGCTGCCCAGGTAAGAGTCAGGGATGCTGGATGGCCAAAGGAACCATAGGTCTGGAGAGGACCAGAGGACAGAAGATGTGGGCAAAGGGACATTTCCAGAGTGGGATGAGTGTGTCCTGCTTGGGCACGGCATGGAACCCCTCTGGGTGCTGGGTGGTCTCAGCCTGGCTCTGTCCAGGCTCTGCAGCCCCTTGGGGCTCTTTTTGCTGGTTTGACCCCCGGCTCTGCCAGCACAGAGCCCATCCAGGAGGCGATTTAGCCCAGCAGGGAAGAGCCTGGACCCTCCCCAGAGCTCTGTGGCCAAGCACTGTGCCCCAGGATGGCTCTGCCAGGGCTTTCATTTAAAAGTCCGTCCTGAACCTGCATCATATGAAACGTTTCATCTCCCTGAGCAGAAACAAATGTTCCTTCCTCAGCAGGGGCTGTGGGCAGCTGCCTTGCTGGCTGCCAGCTGGCATCTCCAGGCACAACCCCCCCTGTGGTGCCCACCCAGCACCCACGCTGGCTGAGACTGGGTCCTGCCTGTCCCATCTCCGCCGTCAGACCAAAGAGGCTCTTCCCAGCAGCGTTTTGAGGTCCCATCTGAGGGGCTGCCACCTCCCCGTGTCCCCACACGGGCTCTGTGTGGGGTCGAGCCCACCTAGGTGGAGCCAGGCAGAGCTGCCAAACTGGGCTCCGTGGGAAGTCTCTCTCTGGTGCTTTTTGGGGAGCGGTGCCCCAGGGGGACGGCTGCCGAAAGGGACCTGGCACAGCCCCGCCCTTTGTTCCTCCCCGCAGGCGCTGGCGGTGCCGCCGCAGCCCGGAGAGGAAGAGGAGGCTGTGGTTTGCCACCATCACTATGTGCCCTGCCCTGCTCCTGCTCCTGTCCTGGCGTGGCAGGTCCCGGCGGGGGGTCAGAGGCCGGTGGCCGTGAGGCACCTGGGCACAGAATCCTTACCCGAGGGTGGGGAGGGGTGAGTAAAGAAGGAGGGGTGAGGAACGAGGGTCCTGCTTTGTGCCACCCAGCCTGGTGCTGCATCCCTCTGCTCCCTGGTGTAGCAGGGCTTCCAGCCCAGGCTGGGACACAACGGGCAGTGCCACCCTGGTACTTACTCCTGTCCTTGCCCCTCTCCAGCAGGGCAGTGCCCCCCCCTCCACCCCCCAGTGCCACAGGGACCGTGGGAGCCGACGTCCCCCCGGCATCGGGTAAGGACACACTGTCCCCACGTCCCTCAGTGAGGGACATCTTGCGTGTGCCCTCCAAAGGCAGAGCCCTCCCTGCTCCCTCCATCCGTCAGATCCCAGGGGTGGCCCCTGCACGTCCTCCAGGTCCCCTTTTCTCTCCACAGAGTACTATGACATGGTGCAGGGGAGGCTGTGAGCGAGCGCCACGCTTCCCAAGATGGTTTCTCCTGCATACCCCAGCCCTCGACCCCAGAAGCTCCTGCAGGTGCTAAGCATGGGTGCTCCATGATATTCACAGTTTTTGGGTGTCACAAAGCTTGTCACCAAACCCCGGTGACAGCATGACCCCAGACAGGGACAGGATTCATGCCCATGGAGGGCTCATGCCCAGCAGACTGTGTGTGACATCCCAGCCCTGGCTGGACACCGTGTCCCTGCCAGGCCATGGGGAGTGTGGCACGAGCTGGGCTGTCCCCATCGGTGGGTGGGGTGGGTGGCAATGCCAGCCCAGGTGGTCCTGGTCTTTGTGAGCCCCTTTGGATCTCAATGCAGCACATTGCCTGTAATTAATTTGCTTTGTTAGGAAAGCTCCCTGCTGTCACTAATTAAGCATCTGTAATTACCCAGAGTGCTGGCTGGCTGCCTGGCTGCTGGGCTCCTTCCGAGCTGTGGGTTTGGGGTGGGGGGTGTGAGCCTCTGGCACCCAGCGTGGTGACGTGGGTACTGGGGCAATATGGGGAGCTGCTGGGGGTTGCTGCTGGGAGGTAAAGTGGGGTGCTCCTGGCTGAGCAGGGCATGGGGAGAGCTGGATCTGGCCTGCAGCTCGCTCCTGGGGGGGATGTGGCGGGGGCAGCAGCCTGGGTGATCATGGCATTCCCCAGGATTCAGTGCTCTGCTCACCAGGAGGAAGGGGTCAGCGGGGGAAGATGCATTTTGGGAAGTTGTCCCCTGCCTCTGCTACCTCCCCAACCCCACTTAGGGGTGACAGCACTGCTGTGCCCCAGTGTGGTTACAGGCCAGTTGTCAGGAGGCTTTGCCTTGAGAGCAGAGCTCCTAGCAGAGGACTTAGGGGCTGGTGGTCATCTGGAGCTCAGAGAATGCTGACATTGGCCAGGCAGTTGCACCTTAATTTCCTTCCTTCTGCCCACACTGGACACGAGGATTGTCCTGTCTCTCTTCTGGGGTCCCTGTGGGAAGGAGGGTTCTTCCTCCCCGAGCCCAGGACTGAGCTGTGCTCTGGCACAGTCGGACCTTCCCCTTGCTGAAGCTGGGAAGAAGCTCCTCCATGCATGAAGGCACATCTCCAGCTGGGAGCATCCTGAGAGGCTGCTGCAGAGAGGTTTCCACATCCATACAGACGGAAAAGGAAGGAGGAGAGGAGTCACTGGGCATGGGGTGAACAGGAAGGGTAGGCTCAAGATATGGCCCAATCTCGGCTTATTTATGAGAATAAGGAGAGGAATGGGAGGATGAAGCAACGGGGATTGCAACACCCGTGGTGGAAGCAGCTCTTGGCTCACGCTGGTGGAACTGGGATATCCTTCAGCCGAGAGCATGGGGAGCATCACACAGCCAGCAGCCCACGGGCATCCGCCTGCACCCCATCGGATGGGGAGAAGGTGCTGCTGGGAAGAGGAGCCACGGGCATGGAGGGGAGCAGGGGAGATGCTGAGGGGGCTTTCTGAAGGTCAGTCCCTCTCCATCGAGGGGCAGGGCCACGGGGTTTGACCCTCCCCAGCATGGTAAAACGGCTTTTTGAAAGCAAAAGGGGAGTTCCCCCGGGGCAGCCTGGAGCTGGCCGGGCTCGGAGCGGAAGGAGAAGCTAATTACAGCCCTGCACCTCCCTAAACACCACATCAACACCTGCCAACTGGGGCAGCACCCGGGCAGGGCAGGGAGCTGGGGCTCGGAGCCCTGTGGCATCCCTCGGACCACAGTGACAGCGGGTGGGCTTTGGGATGGGACCTCTTGCAGCCCAGGCTGGGCTGGGTCGGGGAGCTGGGGGGCGGTGGCAGCGCCTGACTGCCGCAGAGCCGGGCGGGGAGCAGCCGGAAGGGCGGGGCCAGCGCCTGCCTGCCGCAGAGCCGGGCGGGGAGCAGCAGGAAGGTATTTTCCAATAATCTGATAATACGCAGGGTGAGGTTTGGGCATTACCCACGATGCCAACAGGGATCTGCGACGAGTCTTGCCGGTGTGATGGGCACAGATCAGAACCAGCTCCAGCCGCCCCTTCCAGCTGAGATTCCCCTTTCCCAGGGTTGGGGTCCCTGCGTCTGGGATAGGTGCCCAGAGCATGGATGCTTTGATGGGCAGCAAATCTGATCACATCAGGCTGGAGGCTCTGCAATGACTCTTACCAGCCCAGGAGGGCATTTATCAGCAGTGACACCTCAGGTGCCTCCAGGTCCCTGCTGGTGACTCACCACCATTCTTGTCGGGGTATCCTGCCTGCCATCTGAGTCCATCCTCACCCTCCGGACAGGGTGAGATGCACACAGCATCTTCCCCTGGACCAGCCCCAAACACCCACACACGGCTCTGCTGATAGACCTGAGTCACCTGCTCTGCTCCTCATCAGCCCCTGCTCCACTCACACGGGCTGAGCTCCTCGGCACCCTCCGGCCGGGCCAGCAGCATGGTGGTGGTCCTGCTCCACGGGCTGCTGCTCCTCCTGCTCTTGGCAGCCTGGCTGCTCTACCAGTACAATGCCAGCTTCCACTACTACTGCAAGGTGGCTTTTTTCAACGCCTGGATCGTGGCCATGGCCACCCTCCTGTCGCCCATTGTGGCTCTGCGGGGACGCTCCGTGGAGAACATGAAGTGAGTACAGCCTGGAGATGTTCTTGTGATGTGGAGGTGGCTAGGGCTTGGCTGTGATGGAGGAGCCACCTGGTCTTGTGGGCACAAGCTCTCTCCTGCCCCAGGCACACCTCCAGCTCTGTTAGGGCTGGTGGTTGAGCCCTGAAGCCACCACACGGGCTGTGCTCCTGTCCATGTGGCATCTGCATCTTGCTGTGTGGTGAAGAGGGTGCTGGCCGTGCCCAGGGAGGGTTATGCCATAACAGAGGTGGCCAGCTGGGTTGGGACTAGTGGCCCCTGGAGGGTGAAGTAGCATCAAAGGATCATGCTTGGTCATCACAACATTGGGGTCCTCGGCTGAGTGGGGGGTAGGGGGGGCTTTGACAAGGTTTGGGGGTATGATCATTGACAGGTTGCAGACACATTCCCATCACCAGCTCCCTGGCAGTGCAGCCAGGTCTTGCTCGGTGGGAGCCGTGGGGTCTGTGCTTTGTCAGAGGGGCTTGGGGATGTCGGGCATGACACGGTCACCACCAGCAAGAGCCGTGTGCCAGTGCTGTCAGCTCTGCTCCAGGGTGCCAGTGGCCAGGGGGACGTGGCTGTGCAACACGAGAGGACGGCCCGGTTACTTTCAAGGGTGTTGCAATCCTGTTACTGGATTCCTGGGCATGATACCATACCAGAAGGGATATAATTATGTCCGAGTGAAAAAAAGCCTGAGCCTGTGGTATTTGCTGAGCTCGAGCCATCGCGTATTTGTGCTGATGGATTCCGGGCCCTGGGCAGGAGCGTGGTCAGAGGGCTGATGTTATCAGTCTGTTGTGCAGCCTCTCTCCCTCGTCCTTTCCGTGCAGAAGTGCTGTGCACACACGCACGTGTCTGGAGGTGCTCCGAGCCCTGGCACGGATTTCTGGCTCAGATGCAATGCCCGTCGTGATGTGGTGACTCACGCTGCCTTATCTTGTCCCACCGACACCTCGCAGCCATCCTCTGCTGGAGCAGCACGCCCAGCTCTATCTCATCAGCCTCCAAATCCCAAAGCCTCCGGCTTGGAGCACGGTCCTATCATTAGTCCTGGCGTTGGGGCATTGCCACAAGTGTTCTGCTTCTCTGCACACAGGGATCTCCGAGCCTGGGTCTCCCTAGGGATGGGTGGTCTTCTGATACAACAGATCCTCGAAGCATCGGGTCTCCTTCTCCCTCTGTGCTTGCTTCTCCTCTCTCCTCCCCGACTTCTCCTCTACCTGATGCTGTGCTCTTGCTGACAGCCCTGCCCTGTCCCCTTGGGGCTCCCCGGGACCTATTGCTGCCAGATGTGTGAACCCTGGCACAGAAGCTCTTTGTGTTGTGGGTTGGAGAGTGCCCCATTTCAACACCCAAAGCGCATCAGCTTTTTATCTCCACTGTGGGTGCTGTAATCCCCATTGCTCCATCCTCCCTCCATTCCTCTCATTATTCTCATACTGAGTGTCACCCTTCATCAGCACTGCCATCCTGATGTTACCCTTCCTGTCCAACCCTCCCTGGATGGTGACACCACTCTCTGCCTCCTTCCTCTTCCCATCTCCACAGATGAAGCCTCCATCTTTTCCTGACAACACAGGTCCAGTGAAGCTGTTCTTTGTAATTTTTCTCTCATAAATGAAGCTCAGTCACTTTTCCCTTCCCTGCTCTCTTCCTCTTCCACCTGCAGCACAAAGCTTGGTGCCCACACTGCTGCTCTTTGGCTGCTCTGCAGGGACAGCCCCTGGAGGCATCATACAATCAATCACAGACTGGTTGGGTTTGGGTTGTAAGGGACCTTTCAAGGTCATCCAGTCCAACCCTACTGCAGGGACAGGGACATCTGCAGCTAGAGCAGGGTGCTCAGAGCCCTGGCCAACCTCCCCTGGGATGGTTCCAGGGATGGGGCAGCGACCACCTCTCTGGGCAGCCTGGGCCAGGGGCTCACCATCCACAGCAGAAAAAAAATCTTCCTTCTCTGTAGGCTAAGTCTCCCTCTTCTACTTTAAACCTATCCCCCCTTGTCCTGCCCCAACAGGTCCTGCTCAAGAGTCTATCCCAGCTTTCTGACAGGCCCTTGGAAGTATTGAAATGTCGCCACCTTCAGTGCTCACCCACCTCCAGCTCAGCACCTCTCAGCTGCCATCCTGCCTCCCTGACTTTAGGTCTCTGCAATGCAGGCTGGAGCCTCATGTCTGGGTTTACAGCCCCTGCTCACAGATCCAGCTGGGGTGTGGGGAGCCTCGGGGTGAGGCTGCTGGGGCCAGAAGCAGTTGTCCTCATTGGGATGGGATGATTTGCACCTTGCCTGCCTGCAGGCAGGCATCCTATCTCTTCTCTTCATGCTTTCCCACCATCCCTGGACATCAAAAAGCCCTTTTTTCTTTTCCTTCCACCACCTTGTGCTGGCTGCTCTTCTTCATCAGAAGTTCCAATACTACTGAGGCAGCAGCTGGTCTCAGCTTGGGCAGGGTGAACTCTGAGCTATGCAGGCTAGAAATGTGCTTAGAAAAGCAAAGCATCACTGAGACTGAACACATCTCCACCTCAGGACATGCTGTTTCTTCATGTAGACCAGATCTAGCCTGGCCCAGCTTGCACCTTGCTCCCTGAGTGATTCTGAAGGGCTGGGACAAATCAAGCAGCCCCACTCTGTGTCCATCTGCTCCCCACGTGTGTTCCTCTGCCTTAGGGTCCTGCGTGCTGTGATCCTGCCCCTCAAACACATCTATGGCATCAAGATCCAAGTGTGGGGTTCTGAGCATCTGAAGATCAAGGAGCCCTTTGTGATAGTTTGCAACCACCAAGCTTCCCTTGACCTCATGGGTAGGTGCAAGGGAGGAGGGGGGCTCATCACTGCATGGGCAGCCTTTGAGGTGCTGCAGGGGTGGACCAGGCTCACCCTGGGAGGTCCCAGAGAGGCCAGCACCAGGATTTTTTCAGGGCACTGTGCTAGGCTTAGGCCAGAAGAGCTGGTGGGACAGAAGCTCAGGGCTGTGGACCTGCTGTAGAAAAAAGACTGGGACAACAGCAGATGATGCCAGGTCACTACAGCCACAGATCAGTCTGGTTCTGGGTGCCATTAAACAGGGGTGGACCCTTTCCTCTCCCATCCATCCTCCAGGCATGGTGGAGGTAATTCCTGAGCGCTGTGTGCCCATCGCCAAGAAGGAGCTCATGTACATGGGGACGGTGGGGTGGGCCTGCTGGCTCTGTGGCATCATCTTCATCGACCGCCACAGAAGAGAAGATGCCATCGACGTCATCTCCCAGACAGCCAGGACCATGCGGCGTGAGAACGTGAGGGGGGCTGGCAGCAGGAGGGAGGTGGGGACACGGCGGGGCGGGGAGGACTGACCTAGCGGGTCCCAGGTTGCTCTGGTTGGGGTCCATGCTCCTGTCTCTCCTGTGCAGCTCCGAGTGTTGATTTTCCCTGAAGGCACCAGGAACCAGGAGAGATCGATGCTGCCCTTCAAGCGTGGGGCGTTCCACTTGGCCGTGCAGGCTCAGGTGAGACCATCCTCCCCCTCTGCTTGTCGTGGATGGAGTGGGGTGGGCATGCACCCTGGGGCAGCGGGATGGGGGATGTTAGGGTTTTTTGGGGTCTGCAGTCCCCAGGGACAGGCACTCTGCTGTGCAGGACCTCGGGAGGAGATGGGGACCTGCTGAAGCCTGGGAACGGCAGGGGCCCGGGACCGGCAGGAGCCGGTGCCCCTTCTGGGGAGGGAGTCTGTATGGAGGACACCCCTGACCCTCCTTCTCCTACAGGTTCCCATTTTCCCCATGGTGATCTCCCCATACTGGGACTTTTTCAGCTCCAAGGATAAGAAATTCAACTCTGGTAAGTGATGGAGAAGAAGCTCCTTTGCCAGAAGACAGGGCTGGCAGTGGGCATGAGGCACGTGGGGCTTGGGGGTCTCCTTGGGACACAGAGTCGTGGGAAGACAGCTGGTGGTGGAGGATGCTGATGGGAAGACCTGATTCCTGGTGGGCTCATCTAAGAGCATTCCTGGACTTTCCCTTCTCTCTTCAGGGACATGCACCGTCCGAATCCTTCCCAAGGTAGAAACCCAGGGCCTGAGCCCAGAGGATGTCCCCAGGCTGACAGAGACTGTCCAGCAGGCCATGGCTGATGTCTTTGCCGAGATGTCTGCAGATCACTGTGGGGCCCAGGGCCCTGAGCAGCCTCTGCTCCCCTGCTGCACTGGGACTGGTGCTGGCAGGAGAACAGGTTACGGTGCCAGGAGGACACAACCAGGACCAGCAATTAGACAGAGGGACTGAGCTCCTTGGAGGCGTAAGGGAGGTGGCTCAGCCAAAGCCTGGAGCAGGCTGCCCATAGAGATTGTGGAGTTTCCTTCTTGGGAGAGATTCCAAACCTGCCTGGATGCCATCCTGGGCCACCTGCTCTGGAGCAGGGGCATTGGATGAGATGATCTCCAGATGTCCCTTCCAACCTGTGGTTCTGTGATGGTGACCTGGTGCAAGGGGAAGCAGAGCAGTACAAGACTGGGCTGGGTTCACTGCAGCATTTCCCACCCCTGATGGTGTGACTCATGGTGGGGTTCACCCACGGGCTTGTTGGGTTGCTTGTTCCAGAGGCTCCTGCAATCTGGGCACGCTGCTCAGATGCAGCCAGCTCTGGGGAGGCGTCCAGAGCACAGTGTGTGGCTTGGGGAGGGGAGGTCCAGGGGATATTTCAACGTGGGAAGAGCATCCTTGATGCTGAACTGTGAGACAAAGGTGCAGGATTAAACAGTCCAAACCTGGTGGTGTGTGTGCATGGTGTCCTGCCTGTGCCTGGGGTGCTGAGGGGAGCATGGGGAGGGGAATCTCTCCTTGCAAGGGGTGCCTACATCACTGAACGTGGAGCATCCCTATGGACACCACAGCTTCTCCGGGGGGTGCAGTGCTGGACGATGTGAGGAGCATGTGGCAAGGTGACAGGTCCACTGGAGTGGACTTGGTCTGCCCCTGAGTTGGACCTCTCCCTGCCTTAGGGACCAGCAGTGAGTGCACAGGAAGAGCATCCATTAAAGCCCAGCACCCTCAGAGGTGCCTGGATTATGTCCAACTGGAGCAGGAGAACTTCCTCATAGCCTCTGGACCATGGCACAACCAGAGCCATCCACCTTCCACCACCTCCCCAGGCCTGTTCCCTGCAGCCAGGCAGGGCTTTGGGCACCCACTGGTTCCTTCCCAGCTGAGCAGATCCTGTCCCAGCCACCCCAGGGTGACAGGAGAGCAGGGGAAAAAGCAGTGCATGGCTGCCACCAGTGCTGGAAGCAGGGTGGAGAGGCTTCAACTCCCATCTTCTAAGAAGATGTGCAAATCTCAGTCAAACGAGGGTGCGTCCTCCTGTTAGGCATTGTTCCAGTTCTCAGGAGCGGCTGGTTTGTTATGGAGGAAATTCTGAAAAAGCGTGTCAATTGTCCTCCCAGAATGATAGCTGGGGAAAAACATGAGCAACAGAAAAGAAGCTTCCTAGGCGATCCTGGTTTTGCAGGGGGGATGCACAGGATGATCCCTGGAGGTCCTTTCAGACATCTACCATTCTATGATACCCAGGAGCAAAAACTCATCAGAGCAGGAGTTGTCACACGG